AAGACTGAATTACACAATGTATAACCTACATCTAAAACACATAATGTATGCCAGAATTTCTGGTGTTATAATTTTCTCTACAAAATATTTGCGTAAACAAGTATGTAAGTATATATATGTTTTTGTGTGGATGTTTGGGAGGCTTGCGGTAACAAATTCTTCTCCAGTACAATAGTGTCTGGATAAAACTCTTAACCACTTAAAAGAGAAAATGATTGTTATGTAGCTGCTGTAACTCATTGTGCTTTAGTTTATACAATACTTTTATGCTTAAGTGCAGACGTATCTGTCATGACTGCTATGGGGTACACAACTGTATCTCCAGACTAGCTTCACTGATCTCACTAGCGTAAGTGACAGTAGAACTTGTCCCTCTAAAATTTGTCAGTCCTAAAATGATTTTTAAAGGTATTTATATATCTGCTCCTCCTCTGCACTGCTTGTAACCTGAGACCATCCATTCGAATAAGAATGTAGACTTGTCTTTTATAAATTGAAGACGTTCTGCTCATACCACTGGAGAAACAAACTAAAAAATAAGGCAACCAGATGTTTAAAAATGTTGAAAGTACCCCCCCCCCCCTTTTTTTTTTTGGAAAGGTAGCTACGTTAAATAAACATTAAAATGCTATTTTTTCTATATAACTATTCATTTTTAATGGCACCCCAAGAGTTCATCCAAGGGTCTCCAGGTCACTTGGGAGAAAGTACAGTATATTTTGGCTCCACAACCTTTGACTTGCTACAAAGAGCTAATTCTTCCAATTAATGAAATAAATGTTGCTGATGTAGATAGATTGACAAATAATTTTAAAGGCTAATTTATTCAAGCAGATGGCAAGTCAGATATGGCTAGAATATTTTAAGAGGCCTTCACTGACAGGAAAAGAAATCCTTGGAAGAACAAGATACTAGGGACTATTCGCGTGTAGGCATTTGTTCCTTTGGGCATCTTTTGTCTACAGTGGCACTGCAATGAAGCCAAGAAACATGAAGATATTTCTTTTTCCTGTAAGGCTTTCAGTAGGGTTTTCTGCTTAGGGAAAAGGTAACCTGTTCTGACAAAATACCAGTGATGGACATCTACACCAGATAGCTGCAGGTCTGGGAGTCCTTGCTAGGCATACTGCAGGGCATTATGTTTTCCTTTCAAGAATAGATTCCTCTCTTTGGGGAAGCATCCTGAAATACCTGCATTTTAACTCAGTTTGAAACAGTTTATGAGAGCATTTGTACTGCAGTTCTGATAATCTAGGAGTTCTAATAATTCATGAAGCAGCCCCATAGATTAATGCATGTATGTGCGTTAGTAATGGTGAAGGTGTGTTACCACATACCCGAAACTCTCTGGGGTATAGTGATGTCTGGCTGCAATTTCTGAGCTTTAAAACTTTTGCTAACTAGTGTGATAGCCTCTGTGTTTCCAGGCAGGAAATAACACTCACTGTCAGCTGTTCTGTACATGGTGATCAAAGGTGTGTTCCCGCCTTGATACCTGAAGATATGAAAGGGGTTGCCCTGAAAAGCTTCTCATCTCTCAAGGAACACATCTACCTCTAGTTATGGCTTCAGAAATATAAAATATGAGTTGAAAATGCAGAAATTCCTTTTGCCTTCTTTGGAAGCAAGACTTGTGGCTCTCAGCTGGTGCCCATCAGTGTAATGTCAGAGGGTTGTAAGGTGATATAGGATGTTGCACACTGCAGGATAATCTGGATATACCAGAACTGCCTTTAAATGCACCTCCTAATGTACTGCATTCAGCCCTCCTAGTACTCAGTTAGGTCTTCGGCAGAACATGAGGATATATTAGCGTATGCAGGGCTTCACACTTCTGTAGCTAAACTGCTTTTGTTCCCCATGGGCTAGCTTGTTTGGAGACTGGTCAGCTGCCTATATGCTATGTTGCGCTATGTGCAAAAGACAAATGTCACAACTTGGCAGAAAGCAGCCATCCCAGTAGTGGAGTTAGTATCTATGGTCTCTTGGTCTAGCTCAGTGAGAATAATAACTTCAAGACGTGGAATTAAATTGCTTTGCTACTGTATGAGCTTTTAAGTTAATTAGCTGTGTGAATGGGCATCTGTGCAGGACTAGCTAAACCTCCAAATCCTGGCTGAACATTACTCTATTGGGAAATAGCAGTCCTCAGTCCATGTAGATTTTTTTTTTTCCCTTTTCCCCCCCCCTCTTTCTTCCTGTTTATGACTAGGGAGCCATTGGAGGCTGTTTTATTTTCAGTCACTTGGAGCTCAAATATGAGCCGTCAACCTGCAGAACAGTGTAATATTACAGATAGTTGGATGTTGCTCACTGAGCCCCAAAGGCTAAATCACCTCTGGTTAAAATATCAGTTTTCATTGTTAGTGAAATTTGATTTTTCTAAGGAGAAATATCAGGAGTACATGGAAGAAACTGGCTTATCATTCATGTTCTGGTAGTAGCCTAGTCATAAAAACAGGCTGAATTTGCAGTACATGTGGATAATGTCTTATAATGTATTGTTTACAGAGCCCAGGAGAGAAATCTCAGTATCATGCCAATGCAAGAGTTTTGTTATCCCTTCTTTTGGGAAAAGGGTATGCAAAGAAAATCATTCATTTGTTGTTTTAAGAAGAATATATTTACCTTCCAAGAACTGCGTATCACAGATTGGATTGATTACTACCATTAGCCTATCTGCTGCTGCAAAGTATTTGCTTTGTTTCTTGAAGAGAAAACAAAATATGTTGGTGCAGCTCAAACACGGGAGATATGAAGAGTATGATTTTGCATAAAAAGACTGCTTTTTCTGGCTGCATCTGCAGACAGATTTAAGAAAGCAGCCAGTAAGGCAGTTTCAGCAGAGAAATTTGTGTGTGTGTAGTCTTTTTTTTGGTAGGCTGAATAAGACATAATCCATTTTCTCCAGCTGAGCTCTGTCTACAAATGATGCCAGAATTTCTGTGCCAACATCCCCTCCCCTCTCCTTCTCTCCCCCTTTCCCTTCCCTTCTCTTTCTCTTTTTCCCAAACACTTCCAAGAGCCAGGTGGATAGTTGTTGGTATGTGATGAAAGCTCTGACAGGAAAATTAAAAATTGACCTCATATGGGCTTCTCCCCACTCCTACTCTGCCTACAGAATGCCTGAAAGAGACCATAGCACAGTATGAGTATTGCTTCCCAACACACTTTGCATGTCGGTGACGTCTCCCAGTCCATTCAAGAAGCTCTTTGCAACCTCCAGCAACTTCACTGTAAATAAAACTTCTCCCAGTGATGTTTTCTGGAAGATTCAGATTGATGAATTCCCTCAGTTCCTCTTAGCGTCAGAAGGAAGTAGGATTGTAAGGTGCTTTTCAGAAGCTATTTAAGGATAGGATCCTTAATTAATATCCAGTTAGATTCAACATGTTATTTTCATGCATTTTGCCACACTGTTAAAGAAACTGGTGTATGCTTGATGTCACCCATCTTTTCAAGGGTACCCAACTTACATTGGTCCTGTCTAGCCTACATGCTAAAGAGGGAGAGTCAGTAAAATGTCAGCATTACAACATTGCTGTATTGGTGAATGGTCTTTAGTAAATGAGAGGCTTAGCATGATCTTACATTTCTTAATTCGTGTGATGTAGTGCAGGGTGAAGTTTAAAATGCCAGCTGTTTTTTTGCATCATTAACAAGGAAAGAAACCTCTGATGCTTGTGGTGAGAGAACATGGCTGAGAGTGGAGGGATGGCAGCTTATCAGCTTTGATCTGTTGTACTTGATTATGTATTTTTTTTGTTTGTTACAGGCTCCCAATTTTCCTTCTTTGCTCTAAAAGCTATATTGGATCACTTTTCTCCATATCGGTGAATCTGTTTATTGACATCCTGTTAGAGGCCTGTGCAAATAGTCTTCAAAAAGGAGTAAATGAAAGACACTAGTGAAAAGCAAAGTTTGACCAGAGGGCAAAGATCTGTCAAAAACACTTTATCTTTCTTTGTTACTGAGACACGACCAGATGCTTGTTTATAACAAAATGCCTGAGTTGGGAATTTTGAAAGCCCAGATGAGGAAAACTGTATCTAATTGCTTTTAGGAGTGCAGCCGTGTCTTAGCTACAGCTTAGGTTGGTGTGTCCTAAAATCCTGTATTTGGAGATTCTGGGAGTGGAGTAAAAGTGTATATGTTTTTGCTGAAGGAGATAGGGCTGTCAGTTCAGAAACACACTGAACATCTGCTCTGGCTGAGCTCTGTGGTTTAACTAGATTAAAGGTCCATATTAAAATGATCATCAGTCAATCAGAGCACTTCCTCAATCTGAGAAGCATAACATCACGCTCTGTGTTGCAGTTTCCAGAGAAGCTGATGTGTTGTGGTAAGTTTAAAAAAAAAATAAAAATAAAAACAGTGAAATATTTCACAATTGTGGTTTGTTTGGCATATACAGCATCACAGACTAATGTTTAACCTAAGTTCAAACAACTTTGAATTTGTTGCCCTAAATAACTTTAAATTTAGCTAATTATTTTAGGCACATCTTGGATATTAAGTCTACTTAGCAAAATTAAATATAATTCATGTTCTTTTAGCTTTGGGAGTGTTTCCAACCAATAAAGCTGTAGCACAGACCACAAATTTGTGTTGTTTCAGTGGCAGAGGGATCATTTTCCTTTTATTTCAACCCCTGGATAGCCATTTAAGACTACCAGACTACAGGTTTTATGAATTATAGGCATATGAATTGCCAGGAAAGCTCTGTTTTATTATTTTTAAAAAGCCACCATTACAAAAAGAACATCCAACCCTGCCAAACAAACCAAGATAACCCTCTTCTGTTGGCATTCGCCTGTATGCTAGTTGTCATGTGTCTATAAATAAGCCTTTTCCATAGACAAGTTGATAGTAATTGAGTAGATGTATCTTACATGATGATTTGCAAGAACTCTTGCGGTAGAAAATAAAATTACCGAGAGTTAAATGCCTTGTTGCATTTATTAATAAATCTAATTATTTCATTTTTGATTTTCCTATAGGAAAACAATGAAGATATAGATGTTTGTTTTCTTCTGCACCATGCATGCAACAAAGTAATTTGGGAAGTCTGTTTGATTTAGATCATCCAGAAAATTTATGCAGCATTGTGGAAGCATGGTGTCAGTGAAAACAGCTCTATGAATCAATGTGCAGCAAGCTGATGTTCCCTTTCAGGAACACCCACTGCATGGTGAGGAAGCATCTGGTGCAACTTGGACTTTTTTTTTTCTTTTTTTTTTTTTTTTTTTTTGTCACTGATTTTAATAGCTAAATGTGCAAAAGTGCTTACTACAAATATTTCAGGATTTTTGTTGATGGAAGTTACAGATATGAATTAAGAGACTGGAATCAAGGGACAGATTATGTCTGTTTGGAGCCTGAAGCACATTCTAGCATGTAGATCCTGTGTGCTCCTCCTGCCTCCCCCCCCTCTTATTCCTTCTCTCACACACTCTTGTAACTGCAGTGGGAGGAAGGCTTTCCTCTTAGGAAGCATTAGTGATCTCTTTTTCTTTGCACGCAGGGAACTTATTGGAAGGCACACAGCTATTCTCCCCCATGCTTTGAAGGCTTGACTTGACCTGGTCTGCTGCACTTTTTCCTGCCCTTTACTGGGGTAATGCTGGATGAGACCTTGCAGCAGTAGATCTCATTGAGATGAATGTGTTCATATTACTGACCTTCAAAAGACCAGAACACATCAGATAAATGCCATGCTGTCAATCTGTTTTTGAAAAAAAATGTGGTCTTGGATAATTTGGAAAATAAAAAAAGAATCTGGGAATAAAATATTGTCAGATAATCTCATGATCTGGGATGGTACAGAACAACGTTAAGGTGTATGCACATTCGCTTCTCCTTCCTGAGACTGCTACAAAAAGTCACATTCACAGGCAACACCACAGTTCTACGTAAAGTTCTGAAAAAGAAATTCTACTATGTAAGGGAAGAAGATGGTGGCAGAACAAAAAAATGAAAAAACACAATGAGATAACTGTTAATTTTCTAAACTTAGTTGCTTTGTTTCTACTGATTATTGACCATGTCAGATTATTGATGCCATTTCCACATACTCCAGCTCTAATTCTCATTGCAGCTTTTGCTCTCTTCCAAAGGAAGAAACACTGTAAGGGCAATGAGTGACTTTTTGACCAATGTAGGGTTCTCATTAGAAAGGGAAGCATTCTCTATCATTTAGAATGAAATTTTAGTCTAGCAAATGTCTTAAAAGTCATCATGGTGACTACTGTATTGTAAAGTATGGCATTTGACCCACCAAGGGCTGTTTCTTGGTCATGTGGCTAGGTTCACAGTATGGATGTTCACATTACTGATAATGTCCTTCAGATGCATTAGAGATTTGGTATAGCTGGTCTAGACTTGCAGTAAGTGATAGGTGCCATAAAGTGGCTTCACTGTGGGAGAAAAGCAGTGGCCAAACTGCTGAAATGAAGCGGCAATGAAACTGTGGGAAAAAATGAAATGTAGAAAGGTGCTTTTGCTAGTGTTTCTATTGAGAGGGTGGACATCAGATAAAAATGATATGCTATATGTACAGTGCTAGAAAAAATCAACAGCACTGGCTGTGGAAAAAAACGTGTTATCATCAAAAGAGAAATTTATCAAGTCAGTGATATCAACATCATTACTTCATGGACTTGAAACTACAGCTTTAAATGAAATAGATACACAGTAAATTTATGAGTTCTTCAAGAAGTGTCCGATGTAAAGAAAAAACTTCTTAAGACAAAAATGTCAGAGGGAGAACGAAGTATGAAATCAGAATATGTAACAACTACAGTGGTGGAAACTTGAGAGATGATAAATTGTGAAAAGACAGGTAGAAGCCTCTTAAAGCAAGTGGTTGAGTGTGGTCTGACTTGACGATGGCCATTGTCTACAGGGATACAGTCAGACTGAGCAAAATGGAAGAACAATACCGGGATCTGAAAGAAAAATGACTCTGAACTGTTCCTGGCACCTGCAAATCTGCTTCAGATCAAAAGAAAAACAGACCTGCTGGCACCCAGACTAGCAGGAAAGTATTTTATACATTTATTTTCTAGTTAGAGCTCATCCTTAATTACATTTCTCATTTCTGTGGTATTTTCAGCTAGCAAAGCAGCCATTTGTCTGTTGTGACTATGACCCAGACACTGTATCAGTCTTCAGCACTGGACTCCTCCATCACCAGAGCCTGGATGCAGAAACCTCTGAAAAATTCAGCCACACAGCAACACAACAGGAACAAGATAACATGAAATGCGCTGGGTTGCAGATGCCATGGGTTAGTTTCCCAGATTACTACCACGTGTGGTGGCTAGAGGTAACACAAGCAAATGCCTCTCACGGGCATCTGCCCTATCGCTCAGGCTGGTGGCTCCAGACCGATGGCAGAAGGTAGCTATGACCACCATGAGGCAGAGGGTAAGTGTGTCTGGCCAAGGGTGACAGTACACAGCCTGTCAAGTCTTCTCCTGTAACTGCTCCATCACATGTTTCCACTCCACATTTCTGCTCAAGGAAAAATCTGACATGGCAATGGGCAGTGTTAAGTGTTATTAGAGCAGTTAATGCATTGAAAAACTACTCCTGAGGTTCCCTTCTGATGTCTTCCCTGTGTTGTAGCATCTTGTTCAGTGCTTACTGACACTTGCAGATTTTAGAAAATTATGCAGTAATTACAGTGTATTATCATTATCTTTAATTCTGATATGTGGCTTATCATAAAACTCCTCTTAAACAATTTCTTGTTTTTCCTGAAGTGTGGCTGCAAATGACATCATTTGTGTGTGAACTTCAGCTGGATATGGTAACACCTTGTAAAATACTTTAACAAGACAGAAATGCTTAAATAAAGTTTGGGTTTGGTTTCAAAGATCTTCTCTTTAGGAGCCTGCAGTAAATTCAACCCCCAGGTTGACACCCAGTTCTCTATATAAATTTAGTTTTCCAGCGTTAACATTTCTTCATGGTGCAATTTAATTGCTTTACAAGGAAAGACTACAATAGTGCTATATCTATGGTGGCTTTCCCTAGCTTTAGGAAAATATATGGTTTTACAATTAGGCAACAGGGATGCTCTAGTGTGTCACATATTTGGGTTTGTTAAATACATTAGCAAGCAATAAAATCTCTGCTATTCAATCTTTCTCATATTATTTTGATCCCACCTTTTCACCCTAGGCTTTGATTTTCTTTCAGTTTTGCCAGTATATTTGCAGCCACTAAATAGGAACGATGCCACTCCTGCTTCACAGCTCAGCAGCCAGGTGATGGAGAATCACCACAGTGGGCCATGTCTCTTCAGCGTCTACTGCCTGGGCCTTTTTTTTTTATAACTGAGTCTGGATTTCTCCATCACACCTCTTAAGCCTCTCTGAATGAATTCCACCTAGTAAGGCCAGGCTCTTAAAATGGATGTAAGTATTACAGGTTTCCCGTAGCTCTCTGTTTTAGGCAATTTAAGCATAACTGTCTTTCATAATATCTTTTTTTAACCCTTTATATTTCTACATTCTCCAGACTGATGTAATTCTTCAAGTGCTTTGCAGAGTTGGGAGTTCCCAAGTGATTCACTGAAATCTCAGTGTATTTTCAAGTCCAAACCTGAGGTTTTGTTAAAAGAAAGAGAGAGGGAGAGGGCGAGAAATAATAAAAGAGTCTGTCAGAAATGACCGGATTCTATGCACACAGTCCAAAAGTATGTGAATGGAAAGCAGCATTCCTTAACTGAAAGTCTTCATAATTCCCTCTCTCTGGGCTCTGACTAATCCTGAACAGGATTGCACAACATTGGGATAATCTCACATGTAGGGTTTAATCTTATGAGGTCAGGGTATGTTTATCCTCTGTCAAAAGGCAAGAAAGGGAAAGGACCTCAGACTCTTAGTCACTGTGGTGGTTAGGACATCACTAGCTGGGGCTGAGAAGCACTGATGCATGAAGCCTGTGAACGTGCTAGCCACTGGGCTGGTTATGGGGAATATTGTCCTTTGGCACAGCCTATTGTGTTATGGGTAGGCTTGTTTTGCAATCAGGTAGAAAGTCCTGTCTGACATGAAACAGACCTCTAACAATATCTCTTTTGTCCTGAGCAATTGCAGATGACGTCCATGTTGATACCGAGGACAAAAAACTCATAGAGAAACAGGAGTCTTGAAAGCAGTCCTAGGGAAGCATTCAGAATTTGCTGGGCAGAACAACATTTATGGAGCAAAAAAAAAGATGCCTGTGCTGATATGTTGTTAAATCTAAAACCTTACAATGAAAAGGCAGACGATCAAAAGACAGGTAAAACCTGAAGCTTGAATTCACAAAAACCTGTTATTTGTTTTGCTGCAGTTTTGAGTCATGACAATGCCCAGCATTTGGAAGGAGATGTAGGAACTGGAGGAGCTACCACCACCTAGAGAGAGTTTGGAAGTGTTCATGAGGAGTGCACAGTGTGGAGAAGGAGAGTTGTAAAAGTGCCACTAAACAAGAGGAATTCCTCAGGGGAGCACTGAACACCAGCACAGCAGGTAAATTAATCTGGAAACAATTTAGCTAGCTGTTTAGCTAGCTGTTGGCTGACTCAGAAAAGGGGGGGGGGATGAGGGGATGCGACACAGTATAACTCCCACAAGTCCTGAATACAGGGGCAAGAGCTTCGATTCAGCCAAGCTATGTAGCTGCATAAAACATGACACAGGAGTCCCTAAGCCAGAAGTAGATGCAAAACTTCTACACAAAGCAGAATACAGATGTAGAAATAGCGCTCTGTGTTTAACTCAGTTACGTTTATCAGTGCGGCAGTAGTTTAGATGTAGTCACTATGGTAATGTTGTCAACACAGTGGTGCTTCAGAAAAGGCTGCAGGCAACATGTGAAATGGAAGTTTTACAGCTAAGGGTTTCTCAGCATACACGTATATGAGTACAAAAGTGTTAAGTATAAAATTTGTAATTGTACTTGGGGAAAAAGCATCTTTTACTAGGCCAAAACTATGTGCCCCATGTCAAGAGAATGAACTTAATGGAAAAGCAGGCAGCTCAAGCTACTCAAGTGTTTGAACACCTCTTTTGGGTAGGAGGAAAGCTCCCAGCAAGGTATGAAGTGATCCAGGGAATGGGTTTGTCTCTAGGACGACTTCCTTTGCTGTGGAGGTAGGGCTCATGAAAGGCCTGGTAGGTGCATGTCTCAGAGCTTGTACCCCAAGCAGCTGGACTGTATTGTTTGGAGAAGAACTTGGGCTGCACTGGCTATGGAAATGGAGTATAGTCTGGGCATAGCTCTTTAGCATGGGGTGAAGGGTTTCTGACATTCAGCCTTGCTTAGGACTGCTCCTGAGAGCTGAGCTGGGTCTCTTAGGCCTCCCTGTGAGCCACCTGGCTGGGTCCGTGGGAGGAAGGAGGAGGTTTTGGGAGCCAGTAGGTGGATGCATTGTATTTGCACTGGTAGTGTCTTGCCTGTGTGTATAGGCCTGCAGGAGCAGCCACTCCAGAGGCCAGTTGGACCAAACTTACAGGACATCAGATAAAGCTCAGGAGAGCTGCTGGAGTAGGGGCTGAGGCAGAAGCCCTGCTGAGTTCAGGTGCAGAGAAGAGCTTGGTTTTACTCCTGAACTTCTGCTGGCCTTGCAGAAATGTCCCCCCACATCGCCTCCCTGCCATGCTCGATGGGAGTTGGCCCAGTGCGTGAAGGAACTGAAATCCTCCTTGGAGTTACCTCAGGCTTTGGGACTGTTGCTTTTCAGGTTACAGTGAGTTCAACTAGAGTTAAGGTGACAGTTGTGCTCCAAGCTGCTGACAAATTGGCAGCCATCATCTTGATGATCTGTTTGTGAGTATCCTACTGAGAGTTTAATTATTTATTTTTTTAATATTTTACCCATTGATATTTGCTGTCCCAGGGGCAGGGCACCATATTGCACATGATGTATACAAAGTTAAGACAACTTATTTCTCTCAAATCTCTAGCTATTAGACTAATTTTTAATGCTGCACATATTAGCTATATATCCCTTGGTGTCTGAAGCCCCTTTTTCTGTTCTCAAATCTCACCCTTCATTTAAAAGTAATACTAGAGTTGATTAACTGTAAAAGAACTGTTTTTGCTGACTAAAACACTGTCCCTAAACACAGCAGATAGATTATTTCCAATGACTGATTTGAGCAACTCCAAGGACTTCCTGGTCTTTCTATCTACTATTATCAATGCTGTAATTTTGTTATCAAGTCTGGCAGTTTCTTCTCACAGAAAAACTTTATTACTAGGCTGACCCACCTAACACCTCCCTGTTAGTAACAGAAACAAATAAGAGTTGATTGTTCAGCTGCTGTCATTTAAAAAGACTAAATCAACCTGCCACAAAAGAATAATTCCCTCTGGTAACTTTATCCATTTGCCCTTGGTGGTGACACTGTGGATACCACCCTGGTTGAACTATATATTAGTTCCTAGAGAAGCACTTTGAAATATATAGCTCTGCACAATGTTGTAATTGAAAAAAATTGAATAGCCATACATGGTTCAGTAATCTGAAAAGAATGCAAAGGTTCAGTTCTAATTGCTTTACACAATTTAATACCGTTTTGCTGTATTTTCCAAATGGGTGTATTCTTCTGTTCTGCATTTATCTATTTTACAGTTTGGCAGCAGTTGTTGTATATAGGCAGTACTGTTTTTTAAAAGGATGCATCAGAAGTTTTATTTTATGTTCTGGCCACATTTTTAAGACTTAGCCAACTGTCCCAGTTCAGGTGCTTGCTCTTCCAGTGAGAAGGGTCCTCAGAGGGGGGGGTCAGTAGCCTCTGTGATGAGTTAAGGGCCTGGTTTTAAGTTTGTGCTTTAAATTGGTCTTTCTTCTATTGTGTCTTGGAGGGAATCAAGTCTCTAAATTCTCTTTGAATTGAGGGAACTTTAAAAGCTGCTGTAAAATATGTGTCTTAAAATGTACATTACACTATCCACTCACGTTGACTTTTACGTATTTTAAATGCAGTTCTTCTAGGTATTTCTAGCTATTTAACACTATACATTTACTACCTGTGATCAGGAGCTATTCTGAAATCTATGGAAGAGTGCCTCTGACCAGACAATAATTAAAATGGAACCTCAGCTTTAACTTAATATTGTGGGCTTTTTTTGAAACAGTTGACATTATTTTGATGTCGCATTTCTCTCTTAGAACATTCCTCATGTAAATCCTATGTATAAGGATGTGCTTGAGACTACTTTGTTCAAAACAAAATAAAACAATACAACAAATAGCTGTTTATATAAAAGAGCTGATAATAGTATTAACAACTATAAATACCACAGAGACTAAATCACCAGCCTGCTTTCCAAAGCAAATGATACCACTGCTGATAGGGGGCATGATAATAAAATTCAGTTGAAACATATTTCAAAATATATGTATTTCAAGCCATCTATTTAATCTAAATAGAGGATTCTTTTGGTTGGTGGTGTTTTGCATCTGGTTGTTTTTACGTTTCTGAGTTGTTTTTATAATGATATGGATGAAAAAAAGAGCCATGCAGGGATTGAAAGCAGGTAACACCAATAAGGTCAAATTGTTAAAAAGCTTAGGAAAAACACTTGTAACATTTTCAAGGTCTGTAGATGTATATATGCAAAAGGCATGAATATAAATACAATCATACGTTTCATGTATGCCAAAATGTATGCTAGTAAATATTACAGTGCTTTTGGGAGGCTTACTGGAAACAAACCCAGATGAGGGAAGTATATGGGAATAAGTATATTGTCAGACCATCAGGATGTGAGTGGCATAATGGAAAAAAATAAAAAACAGAGAGAAGCAGCTTTCTGATTTAAAGTAAAATGCATCTTCCCCATTTCTGGTGGGAAAAGACAAATGGGGAACAAGGAGAAGAGAAATTATTAGGTGGAGAAACAGTGAAGGAAAAACAGCTGATAGATGAGAGGAAGCTGAGACTGAAGCTGTTTGGATGTTACTTAGTGGCACTGCACAATGATCTTCGATCTAAATCAGGAGCAGGCTTTAGAAAGCCTGTAGGAGATATGGCATTCATTAAGGAATTTCTAAACATTGGAGCCTATTTTGTACATATGCCAACTACAGGTAGTTCTAAATATAAATTCTTGAAGCATCTTTACTTTCTGCATATTTATATACCAATGACATTGCATTTATTATTTGAGAATAAAAGGGTAAATAGTCTTTATTTACAAAAGAATTTCTGATTACCTATTAGTACCTTGAACATAGGACATAATACTGTCTACAAGAGAGGCATTTTTCTCTTTAATGAAAGTAGCGCACTTCAATTTTCTCTCTATTTTAATTACTCCTTCAAACAGTTTGGAACTCAGATCTTGGCTGAGAGTTGTCAGGTAGAGGTGTAATGTCCACTGGAGGTTATTTCACTATAGCTGAAAAAAAACATTGAATTGGGAATTGATAATACAATTTAGAATGAAAGAGTTAACTCCTACAGCTTCAGTACCACTGTTCTGTTGCAGGGACATTACTAACAAAGGCCTAGTTGTTGTTTTAGCTACAAAAGAACTTAATGAAGGTCCCAGACACAGACTGGCATTTACACTGACTGTCCTTTTCCAAAGCAGCTTTTGTATTAAATGAGTTCATTATTAAAACATGGTAGCTTTAATTAAATCTCTGTAATCTCCAATCAGGAAAATGGCATTAGGCTGCCAGCCAGGAAAATATGGTAATTCCAAACAGTGTCCCCATTATTAGTGCTGGGTTGTCTGTTGGAGTATTTGATCAAAGGCGTGGAGAGTTTGATGCTGTTCTACAGTAGGGCTAGCCCAAGGTACTCAGCCCTATGTCCATGCAGGAGTTTATAACAAATTACACTCTTTCTAAATACTGGACCTAAAATCCTAAAGGATGCACAAAAGTAGTGCTCTCGTACTTGTCTAGCTCTTCCTCATGTGGTGTGACTAGCATAATTTACTGGCACATGGGAAAACAGATAGGCGTGTAAGATGCATTTACCTAACCTCTTCTGCCAAGGGTTGTAATTTTGGGAACTGTAGGTATACACAGAAATAAAAATTGTTTATTTTTCCTTTGTTTTGTTTAGATTATGCTTAAATTAACTTAATTTAACATCACACCTATGAGTACTGGTTCAGATGTGAGATCAGAAACATCGCTAAAGCATTTCACCCATCTCACTGGATTAAAGCACCGTAGATACAGAACTGGCAAATAACTATCATTGGTGCAGTTGTTTAATGAATTAATTTGTTTCCATGTTTCTGTCCAAATTGGCTTTAAGATGTATATATACCTAATTCTTGTCTCCTCACCACTTTTGAGTAAATGACATAGTTGTACCAGATTGAGAAGGAGAGTGGTGCACAAGATACCTATTTGCATGGTGTCCAAGTACACATTACCACGAAGAAATACTCAGGTTGTGTATGTCACCAGGTGGGGTAATTCTTTCTTCTAGGGAAAGGCAACAAAATAAAAGGTGATGGAGCTGTTTGTGATGGAAATCCACTTGTCACTTGCTCATCCATCATCACTGTCCTTCCTGATTCTACTGAAATCACTGATGGCTGCTGCTGACTTCAGGAGAATAAGGATGAAGTCCCATGTGACAAATATGAAAATGATGGTAGCCCTAGACATCTGAGCTTTGTAGGAATGCAATTACCTTAAGTGGGGAGGAGGGAAATGCAATTATTCAGAAAGCATGTGGCATGCTTTTCATTGATTAGACTGTCTGGTTTGATTAAATTCCTCAATATTTATATAGTTCTATATAATAGCTCTATTTAATACGGCTCTAATTGCTGCCTTACATATTTCCTGGGTCCTTTTGTTCTAACTCATCTGCTTTCAGGTCCAGGTTTATTTTTTCAATGCATTCAGATTCTCCACAAACATAACCTGTCGTTATGTGTTTTATCTGTCTCTGCAGATGCTTATTTGACAGAAAGTTTCCATCAGCTCCAGAGAATGGGTCCTGTAAATAGCCTTTGTGGTTCTCAGATGGAGTACTTGCAAAATGGAATTGATTAAAAGGTCAAAAAACATTACGTTTTCAATGTCTGAACTGCTCCATCAAAGTGGTAGTGTGATAAGTGTGTGCAAATCTTTTCAAGGGACCAGTCTGCATTCAAAAAATTTGTTATATCTTTCAGATCAGATTTGACGTTTAGATGTAGAGCTTAGGGATATGGTTTAGTGGGGACTGTTAGTGTTAGGTCAGAGGTTGGACTCGATGATCTTGAGGTCTCTTCCAACCTAGAAATTCTGTGATTCTGTGTGATTCTGATGCTTCCCAAGAAGTTATATATGTGTATATATATATATATATATATATATATATATATTTAAGTTATAGACAAAAACAAGTCTCTCCACTTACACTACTGTCAGATAGTAGTAACTCTGAAAGTGATGAGGCTCTTCTAGTATGAGTTGCAGTGAGACTGAGATTGAAACCAATGCCTTCATCAGTGTAACCAGCTAAGGTGAGAATGATTACAGAAATGGTAGTAACCAGAAGATACCTAGGTCTTACACCAGAATGAGTTATCAGGAACCACTGAGTATAATTCTGGACAAGTTTTACACATAATAGACAACACAGGAGAATGGTTAGCCACATATCCTCTCCTGCTCAGAAAGTCGTAGAAGGGCAATGAAGTCTCAAAATTGATGATGCTAATATATAAGGATATCACAGCCAGGGCTTGGCAGAAGGCACGTTTATTCTCAGGTTACTTTGACAGCAGCTTTTGCTATCTTGTTATCCAGCCATCCTATATCAGGAGGTAAATCTGCTCTTCACTATTTAAAATACATATCCCACAAATAATTACTACCCACTGCATTTCATTGTTCACGTTGAATCCCAGTGGAGACAACATAATGCTAACTTTTATTCCCAGATAGGTAAGGGCTGTATGGTGCCTCTTTCTTGTGATTTTCTTTCTAGCAGCTGATGTGTACACCCCATAGTAAAATACAAACCTTTGCTCTGTGACGAAGGCAAAGCCTCAGTGTGAATAACCTCTGTGTCTCTCCATTCACTCAAGAGTAAAGAGAGATAATTTATGTCTGTCTGCAACATCATTAGTGAATTGGGCACTTGAATTAAGCATTAGGGACCTGAATAGGGAATTGTTTCTACCTTTCCTCATGTGTGCTCTTAGAAACAGAACTTCTTTTGGAATGTAGTAAGTTGGTTTGTCTTACTTTTGATTTAGTTAGGCAACCACTGGGCAAACTGGCATCAAACTGAGACCTGTCTAGTTGATAGATTTTGTACATTCTTACGCAAAGTCTCTGTGTGGTTTGGGTGGCTTTAGGAACGAGCTTTACACACAGGTTTGAGGAGTGTTTCTATCAAATTTTGTTCACAGAACCACGGAGCAGGGGCTCCGTGCTGGCAGGGGCCTCTGAAGGCTGATGCAGGGACACCCAAAGCAGGCTGCCCAGGGCCGTGTCCAGATGGATGTCGAACATCTCCAAGAAGGAGGCTCCACAGCCTCTGGGCAGCCTGTGCCAGTGCTCCCATTACTGCACAACACAGAAGGGCTGCCTGGTGCTGAGAGCACCTCCTGTGGTGCTCCGCTTTGTGCCCATGGCCTCTGGTTCTGGTGCTGGGTACCACTGAGAAGAGCCTGGCTCTGTCCTCTTTGCACTTGCCCTTCAGGTATTTATAGGCATCGTTAAGATCTTCCCTGATCCTCCTTTTCTCCAGGCTAACAGTTCCAGCACCAAATTCTGTTACCACTGGAGAGGGAGACATTTAGACATTTCATTTTCTTTTACGTTTTTACTGGCAGCTTGAGGAGCTGTACACATAAGCTGTGCTGAGTCCCTTTGGTCTGCTCTTACACTGCTGTACAGCATACAGCAGTACTGGCTCTGGTCTTAGCTAGTGGCCTGGGCACTATGAGCTTCCAGCCTTTTGCCTGTCTATTCCTGCAAAAGACTCAGGGTCTGCCCAAGAGATCATAGAATCATAGAATATCCTGAGTTGGAAGGGACCCTTAAGGATCATCAAGTCCAACTCTTGACACCGCACAGGTCTACCCAAGTTCAGACCATGATGGGCAGTGTACTTATATGTATCTTAAGGTGCAGGCCCTTACCTTCTTGTAACTCTGTTTAGTGTTCCTGCCAGAAGTTTATATGTTTCCTTGTTTTTACAGTGGAAGAAGCTGAGGATGGGAAAGAAAAATATAAGCAAGTAAACAGGCATTGTAATCTATGTGCTGAAGCATGGCTGTCATCCCTCCAATTCACCTGCTAAAACAGCTCTGGGGGTTCTCAGCTATCACATGTGGCTGTTGCTGCTTTGCCAGCAGCGTTGGTCTCTGCTCATAATGTTCCTGTTCTGTTGTTGTTTTGGCAGGCTACTAACATTTTCCCAAGGAAGGAACACATACAAGGGAGAAGGAACAATGAACTTGAGAGCATCAAGCTACTTAAAAATAAGGTTCACTGCCACCTCCCCCACCATACTTTACTGTGAGTAAAGCTTCAGCACTAATGTTGTGTACAGCGGTTGTAGTGCAGGACTGTCAGTCCTAATTATTGAGAAACTGAGCAAATGGATTGCATTACTTCTTCAAACAATCTTCCAAAATTGGACTGTCGAGCAGAACAAGGCACTCGTGCAGCTATTGGCTTTCACATGGTTTGAATTGAAGTAGTTGTCTTCCCTCTGCTCTCCCTGCAGCATCAAGCAATGCCAGTGTTAGTGCACTACCACCAGGGAAGCTCTGAGCTGAAATGCAGCTTAATCGTACTGTATCATTTGTTATGAAAAATTAGAAATGTTCAGTTGATACAGAGCTGAAGTGAAATATTCAGTTAGGAATAGGAATAAGCTGCACAAATGCAAAAATATAAAAGAGATTATAGCGTGCACTGGAAATCATAGCCTTTGGCTGGGATTCTGTGCACAAAGTTCTATGCTATTCTGTGCTATTTTAGGCTATTCACATAACCCATTTTTTTAAAAAACGTGTGCTAAACTGGAATCACAATTCCTGAAATATAGCATGTATGACCCAAAGATGAAACAGTTTATCACTAGTTCTTCAGATCTATGGAAAGTTTGCTTCTGTGGGACTGCTGTGGGCAGTGGCACTTATCTCTCTACTTATTTTATGTTATTTTATTTTATGTTATGTTATGCTATTTTATGTTATTGCTTAGGGGTTGTGCAGAGACTCAAATATATAAAAAGGAAGTTTAACAGAAAGAATCTATTTGGTAATAGCCACAGTCTCTTGCAGCCATGACTTGTGATTAAAAAATGTGAGAAAAAATGCTTTGCGTATAAAACCCTTGATATCATGTTAGTGTTAATGCTAGCTTCATGTTACCATTACCAGCTTTTTGCCAGCTTGCAAATTGGCAGTGTGAGCTTGTCCTAGGTATTGTCTTTTCCAGTGGCAGTGGCAAGAGGTGGTAGGTATGGAGCATGACGATGCATGCATTTAGAAAAACTCAGATATTTTTGTGTACAAATTGTTCATGTTTTAAGTGAAAATTAGAAGAAAACAGAGATCAGAATAATAGAAATCATTCTGCAGTTCTAAAAGTACAAAGACCTCTTTATTAAACCTGGGTAAAAAACCAAACCAAAACAAACAAACAAAAAAACCCTTTCATTATAGAGGAAAAAGTGAGCACACCTTCTATCTGCTCTGATAATGCATGATGCTGCACTCTCTTTCTCTGATGATTTCCTTTTCTACCTATGTACTCATGTGTCTGGCATGTTATCATGTAGAATACAGTTCTGTACTTATGACTAAACCCCAATTCTTCCCATACTGCCTTCTCTGAGGCGTCATATTCCATCAACAATGCTGTAAGCAAATTGTTGCAAGCACATATTCCTCCTCCTGAAATATTTGGTTTTATTTTAATAAACAAACTAGAAACAGAGTAGCCTAAAATTCGAGCATGTATTCATTTGCAGCAGTTCAGATTGTAATACATTTTTTGTTTGTTTGTTTTGAATTGTGAGGGAGACACATCAATGAAAGTAAAGGGGATTCAGAAGGCTGGGAAATTAATTTTATAAATTCATTATGGCATGTAAGCCCTCTTGCACATTAATTTTACTTTGTTTAGTTTCTAAGCCCACAAAATACTAATGAGAGGAATAGGAGTGCCTTCTGGATCTACTCCTTTTGTTTCTCTTCTAATTTACTGCTATGCAATTTACAGCAGATATGCAATGCCATTGTAAGCACTAGAGACAACAACTTGAAACGCATAATAAAAATTCTCAGTTTATTAGATTTGTCCTTCTGTTATTAAAAACACATCTTAACAGCAGACATCTGTTGGACAACTTACGTGGTTCCTTATTGTCTTGGTATGTGAGAAAATACTGCAAGCTGTATTGCCTAGCCTTGTTGGACACTGGTACTTTGCGGATGCACAGGAAATTAAGCATATGCTCAGTGGTGGAGTTATAATAATGTGGAAGTTTGGTGTAATCTGTTGAAATGAAAGAGTGCTGTTTCTTGTACTGTGCCCTATGGAAAGTAGAAGGAGGGATGCTAGGAGCCCTCCTTCCTTCCCTGATTTCCTGCGGTATATCTGATTGGCTGTGAATCAAGTTTGACAGAAAAAATGTGTGTGTGATAAGCAGCATGTTAACATCAAAATAATTTTGCAACTGTTCCTTTGAAGCCTTGTACTATGGCTGTTTCTTGAAGAGATCTCTGTATAAAGAGCAGCATTACAAAGCAGAGCACTCCTTTCACTGATTTTCACAAGAAAATTTAGATTATTTTTTTTTCCTTCAGTAAACATACTTCCTTCAGGCTTGCTTAAATGGGATATCTCCACCTTTAGCATCAGTAGTTTTCTCCCTGTGAGCACAACTAGCCACTCTTTTTGAAAGGTGACTGCTTTGAAGTTGAAATAGCAGAATAGTGCTGGAGGCTGCCAGCATGCCACAGACTCTGAGTATGTTTTCAAAGCAAAAGAGATCTTCATTATAGCAACAAGGAGATATCCAGAACCAGCTCTGTGTTTTGCAAGTAAATATGCAGTGATATCCATAAAAAAAAAAAAGTCACCAAAGACATTATATTTTTATACATACCTATGGTTCACCTGATATTTTCATGCAAAAAATATATCAAAACAGGTAAAAAGCTTTATCAACTAGATTTTTTTAAATGTTCAAGCCTCATCTGAATAAAAGTACTTTCAAATTTGTGATAGAGAAGGTTTAAATCTTCATGCTTCAGGACATGAAACAGCCTCCTACAAGAGGTTTAGGAAGGAATTTATATCTTAAATCTAAATAATTATATGATTTACTGCTGAAATATTGGGCTATTATTTCTCATCTTCACGAAAAAGATGTCCTACATAGGAGCAGTGGGCCTCTATTTTGATATGCTGTGGTGATTGCCATAGAGTGGTGTCTTCATGTAAATACACCACACCCTTGCTGACATTCTGGAAGCTGCAGTATGTAACAAATCCTTTGTTATAGTGAGCACCATATCAGCAAAGAGCTAAGATTCAGAAATGAAACTTTGTGCCATTCCAGGATATGAAAAACAACTGAAAAAGGCCTCTAGTGCTCAGGTCTTGCGTTAGGGTAATGTGGTCAACAGTCAGGAAATAGAGAGGTGTGAAGGTACATGCCCGGCAGTTGTCAACCTACCTCTTCAGGACTGATGGTCATTGCTGCAGAAAAGTTCATCAAAGTTAACAAAATACCAAATAAGTGGTGACATCTCCTTTCTTGACATATTCAAGTTGACACTGGGGATATCTGGAATACATGTCAGCAAAACAGAATGCAGTAGATTCAATACCAAAGTATCCAAGGTAATTCTGTGCTGTGTGGTATACATACATTAGAAAGAGTCAAAGCCAAACTAGATGACTTTGTGATCTTGCTGTTTATGAGTAGGAATGAGAAAAGAATTAGAGAATATCCTCCCTGGCAGTTTTGTCTGGCTCCAAAGAGTTAATTTCAACAGGCATTTCAGATGGATTCCCTCTGTTAGCTGTATCTGAACTGAGTGATAGAGAAATTCCTTGGAGCTAAGCTGTGAGTGTAATGCAAAGAAAAGTCAACACATGCTATGAGAAATCAGGGATGATTTTTTCCAATGTTTACCTTGGTACATTGTATGGCTGAGGATTTTCCTTCCTGGGACAATGCAAGGGGTATTGGTGGCATATATGACATTGAGCTGTAAGACTCTGAGGAAGGTTGAGAAAGTAACCTCTGGGAAGTCATAAAGAGGCTAATACCTAGCACGTATGGAAAGGTTTATGTAGCTGATGTGTAGCTGAAAGGGTGGAAACACCTTTGGGCTGTGTTTTACTCAATTGTAAATTAAAAGTTGTTTGTTCATTTGTTTTCTTTTTGGTTAAAGAGATGGAATTTTTCCTTTTCAAAAGAATTCTGAGTATTTGATAGCTATCCTGCAGCTCTTCTATAAGTAGTTGAAGTATTTTTCCATCCACAAGATTTCCTTTTCCCATGTTTTTTATTTTTCCCATGTATCTGATTAAGCAGGTGAATTATTTTGCATGTCTTAGAAGTAGTATATTTTTCCTAAAAAGAAGGCCTTCGATAGTGTTCAGTTCTGAGAAATTTAGTAACTGTGTTTGCTACCTGATGTCACAACAGTTCACCTAATTTATTATTTGTTTATTTATTTTTGTATCTACAGCTAGAGCATTTATTAGGGTACTTTGTTCCAAATAAATATCCCTGACTAAGTGGATCTAACTAAAACCACAATCTGTAGATGCTTCTTTCAACAAATACCAGATTGGGATAGTCATTTGCTCACTCATGGGTTTTCTGGCTCCTTTCTGATTAGACATTATCCAGCATTTAACAAAGAAGTCTAGAAAAAGATTACACTTGCTTTTGGATCTTGGTCAAATCTGACTGTATTCTGATAAGGAAGATTTAAAACAGTAGGTATGTACATAAATTACACATTTTCAAGTAAAGTTGCAGGGTCAGATATAACAGTTACATGGCACAGAGGTCTTGCTTTCTGGTGTAGGCACCATAAAGAAGGAGATCCCAAAGTCCCTTCTTTTGATCTAAGGAATTTGGAAGGCATCACGTAGCAAATCTTTGGTAAAACCAGGAATATTTCCTACTCCTCCAGACTCTGTCAGCTACAAAGTTGACTAAATGAATTTTCAGTGTAAGGGAAAAGGGTAGACTGATCCTGAACATAGTTGTCTCAGTATCTTAATTTTCATTACAGAACTAGAAAGCTTACTTTTTTTTTTTTTTTTTTTTTTTTTTTAAAGGGGAAAAAAACCCACACTTTCTGGTGTGCCTCCTGACCTTTAATAATACCACAGACTTCTTTGCCTTGCAGTGAACCAGTTCCACAAGGAGATTGCCACATCAGATTATGTGAGTTTGCTTCATTTCCAGGCAGTGCTATTTAATATACATCTGCTATGTAATAGATGCAAAAAAACAAAATGATTTTCAGTTGCGT